GGAGAGGAGAGGAGAGGAGAGGAGAGGAGAGGAGAGATAAACCACACAGAAGGAGATGCTGTAAGACAGTACAGGCAAAAGGCAGAGTTGTGCAGCTACAAGATGAGGCACATAGAAGGCTTCTAGGATTTGCAGAGGCCCAGAAAGACCCTTACCTGGAGCTTTCAGTGGGAGCATAGCCCTGCTGACACCTTCATTCATACTCTTGGCTTCCAGAATTGTAAGAAAGTAAATTTTGGTTGTTTAAGGCACTACTTTTCTTAGGGTAACTTCAGGAAGCTAATATAGGTTTTGGTGCCAGGAATTGGGAATTAATGTAAATAAATAACTAAGAATGTGGGAATGGATTTGGAACTGGGTAGAGTTGGCAAAGGATGCAATGTTTTGAGGTATATAGTAGAAAAAGCCTATACTGCTTAAAGAAAGAAAAAAAGAAAGAAAGAAAACAACCTGTTGGCAGGAATACAGAGTGAAGCCAGGTATGCTATTGCACATCTGTAATCCCATCATTTGGAAGGCTGAGGTAGGAGAATCATGATTTCAAGGCTATCCTGGGCTACTTAGTAAGTCTCTATATTAAATCAAATTTAGCAATATGGATAGTAAACACAGTTCTGGTGCAGGCTTAGAAAGAAGAGCACAATAGAGTAAGAGTCTTCTGTTGAATCTTTCATTTACATAATTCTAAACAAAGTGTTGATATGAATATGAATATTATAGCTCTTTTGGTGAGACCTTAGAAAGAAGTTAAAGAAGCCATTATTGGGTATGGGAGGAAAGTCCATCCTTGTTATAAAGTGTCAATCATTCTTGTGTTTTGTAGAAAAGAAAGCTTGTAAGATATTTAGCAGAGGAGATTCTCAAGCAGTGTTAAAGGTATGGCCTGGTTTTTCCTTGTGGCTGCTTATGGTAAAATGAGAGCGGACAGAGCAGTTGGGAAAAGAACTATCAAATATGAATGATCTAGAATATAAAGATCAAAAACAAATCCTAGCACTTGGGAGATGGAGGCAGGAAGATCAGGAATTTAAGGTTATTCTTGGCTACATATTGAGTTTAACGATAGCCTGGGATTCATTAAGCCCTGTTACAAAAGAAAGAAGGGAAGAAAGAAAATGTTAGCCTACTTATATTGTAAAAAATGAGAAAGCAGTCCAAACCTGTAATCTCAGCATTTGATAGGGTAACACAGGAGGATCACTGAGAGTTTGAGAGCTGCATAGTAAGTTCAGGACCAGTCTGTGCTATAGAGTGAAACTCCGTTAAAAAAATCTGAAATATTTTATGGGCTAGGAAAATAGTTCAGCGTAGAGTATTTGTTCGGTATGGGTGAGGTCCTAGGTTCAATCTCCAGCACCATAAAAATTTTTAAAAAGCATCCTTTAGAGAGAAGACAAAGAGAATGGCTGGCTTGGGAGTTGCTAAGGAAAGGAAGTGTGTGATTGTGAGTGTGCTCCCACTTCTCAGAAGCCTGGACTTGAGATGGGATTATACAGGATGAATCTGTGGAGGACTCTCTTGTCTTATAACCTGGGCCCTCATGAATCCCATGAGAGGCCAGCAAATTTTGTTAGAAGTTTATACCAACAGAAACACTGTCAGCCTATGAAAGGGACAGAGATGAGAAGAATACAAGGATGGAAGGAAGAAAGGAAGGAAAGAAACAAGAAAGGGAGGGAGGGAGAAAGGAAAGAAAGAAGGGAGATTCTGAATATAGAGCCAGGATGAAGAGGCCAAAGAGGGCCCAAGCTCAGAGGGTGACACTATCTCCCATTCCAGAGGATGGGGTCACTTCAGTGGGCCTAGAAGCAGAGTATATGGACATACACATTTCTTTTTAGACCTTAAAATATAGAAGAATTGCCCTGATATGTTTGGGATTTGCTTAGGACCATGAGTGCCCCACCCCCTTTTCCCAATGTCTTCTATTTGGAATGGGAATGTTTTTTCCTATGCCTGCCCTCTCACTTTCTGATGGTGGGTAACTTATTTTCTAGATTCACTGCACAGAAGGCTATGATAGCTAGTGGGGAGAGGGCCAGATGGACAACAGAAATCCTGGTGGGCTGGCTGGCAGCAGGCAGGGGTGTCACAAAAAGCAGTATGAAGTGCAGGCATAGGAGGGGATAGGGAAGAGACAGGAAGCTTACCTGCAGTCACTGAGTTCTCTGGGCCTGTGGATACAGAGAGTTGGTTTTGTGAGCATGGAGGCCTCCCGAAGCCTACAGCAAAGCAGCCAAATCAGGGACTTGGGGCCAAGTCAGGCTACACTTGGCATGTTCCCTGCTTAAGTCTCAATGATGCCCTGATGTAAAACTGCCTGCCTGCTCTAGGAAAAGGATGAATTGGAATTGTAAACAGTGCTTAGGTGACTTGGCACCAGCAACAGAGTCCCTTGTGCATCTCAGAGCCCAGCAGAAAGTCCAAGATGATCAATGTTTAGTGGAGGCCTTTCCACTCCATACTCTCACTTCATCAACTTCCACTCAATATTGGATTGCAAGTTGGGTTTGTTGCTGTCTAGGTCAGTTGGTAGGGACAAGTCTGCATTTGTGTTAGAAGATAGGCTGAGGGCAGCAAAAATAAGCTTGTCAAGAAGGAGATGGAAAACCCAACCATCACACCCCATATTGAACACCTGTACAGTGAGGCAAGAGGGTCCCCAAACTCACTGGTGAAGAATTGCTGAATTCGAGGAAGGCCACCACCAGGACCACCCAGGAGGATGGTGACTAGGATCCAGGTGAGACCCATAGTGATGATTAGGGCCACGATTCGCAGGGGGCCTGCAGGCAGGACAGACACAGGGCAGGTCTATCTCAGACACCAGTGAACAAACCCAGCAACAACCCACTGCCTCACACAACTAGATCTCCTCTTCTACTTGGAAACAAGTGATGGCAGGATTGGAAGGTGGGGCACCCATTGCTACCCACCAGACCCAAGAAGGAGACTTGAACTCCCTCCTGGTGAAGGGAAGAAAGTGAGTTCAAGCATTGAGGTTGCCCTGTTTGGTTCTCCTCAGCAGGTTTGGAGGGACCTTTTAGAACTCATGCTCTGGACAGGTTCCATAGCACCAACTTCAGCATCTTGCCTTTGAAACTGTTAGTGTATTTACAGCTCACCCATCTGCCTCTCCTTTCCTCTTGTTTTGATGGAGGATCTATACTCCTCTTGAAGACCAGGCCTTCTACTTGCTTCAAGATACATCAAGTTCTCTCCTTTCTCAGATATGTTGTGCTAAGGCTCCTTCTTTCTATCTCACTTTCATATTATTAACAGGTCCTAATTTATAAAGACGAAAAAGAGCTCCTGCAAGAAAAATATCATCCTCTAACTCCTTACCTACCACTTCTCCACCAAACTCTTTAAAACTTTATACTGTGGCTAGGGATATAGCTCTGTGGTAGAGCATTTGTCCAGCATACATGAGACACATTTTAAAAAAGTCATCTACATTGTGATTTCTATCATTCCATCCCCACTACTCTCTCCCAAAATTCTTCCAATCTAGTCTTGCCACCACAATAGCAAAAAATTGCCTTCCAAACCAGACCACCCATGACTGTCACAATTTCTGATTGCCTGTCTGCTCTTTCTTGACATCTTGATGTGCTGCCCTAGCCATCCTGATGCAAACACTTCACTGATAGCTTCTAGGACACCACAGTCTCTTGACCTGACTCTTTGGGACTTTCTCTTTTTTTTTTGGTCATCTTCCATTACTCTCCCCTCAAAAGCTATTCCTTTCCAGGATGCCTTCTCCTGTTTGCATACTCTCTTTATGGGAGATTTCATCTACCACAATTATCAAGTGAAATACCAAGCAGTAATGACACCTTATTTTCTGGCTCCAGTCCTGATCTGTCTTGAACCCACCCCTTCCCAGTCAGTTCCTTACTGCCCTTACTAGAATTTATCCATGAAGTTGCTACCTTACCAGTTCTCGAATTCTACTTTTACCCCTATCTGCCCCCTCCACAAACCATTTTCATCTCCACAAGGCATGTTCATCTTAGTTGTCCAACTGACAGCAGAGCAGCCACTTGGATCATATCCATCCTCACAGGCAACCAAGTCAGTTCTCTTCTAAGGCCACGCCTCTTTGCCTCTACTCTCCACCTCTCCTCACCCAACCTGTTATTTGAGTTGGGCGCAACTGACTATATATCAATCCTTAACTTATAGTTTGGGAAGCTGAACTCCTCAGAGGTGAAAGAATTTGCTCATAGAATGAGTGCTTGTGCACAGTTACCCATTAATAAATAACAAACCAGTGACTACCCGGGCCCCTCCTGACACAACCACTAGGACACCAGGATTCTCTTCCATTCACTGTGGAAGCCACCCACCTGCCAACCTCATGTCCACTTCTCCGGCTGGGTTGGGACCTCCGGCAGGTGCACTGTTTGGGGACCGTGGGCTCTGGGAGGAATGAAGCAAGAGAGTAGGTTTGGGTGGTGGGGCAGGGGCAAGTCTGTGCTGGGCGCGATCGGTGCTACAACTTGTTCCTCCAGACACCAGACCAGGCTCAGTTCCTCATGAGCGCTGGGAGACGCAGTGCCTGGCCAGCAGGGCCTTGGGAACCCGTCGCGGCTCACAGTCTAACAGAAGCATCCAGGACTGGAATGTAGCAGTTGTTCTCCCCGACCTGGGTCCGTCCCGTGCTAGGCCCGGCGCTCTGGTCTGTCCCCTCGAGGCTGGTGGCAGAGACCTGGCGGGCCAAGGACGTTGCCTGGATGTAGGGAGACGCAGATCGGATCAGGGACTTTCCCAGTGGTCTCGCCCTGCCGGCGAGGTGAAGCAGACTAGTCACGTAGTGAAGCTTGGCAGGCACGACAATGGCGGCCCTAGGAGGGCCACAGCCCACAGGCGTCGCTCCGCCATAGGCCTATAGACTGCGCTGTGGGGCCTCAGGTCCCCATGCAGGCTCCACCTCCAGACCCGCCTCCTTCCTCTTCTCCAGAGGCTGGGTAGGAGGTGCCTAGAGAAGCTGTTTCCCGGAGACTTGTGCTCAAGCTGAGACACTAGCTTCCTAGAAGGAGCCTGGGTCATTGCTGCCAGATGAATCTCCTTCTAGACATTTTTTTTTTTTTTTGAGATAGGATCACACCCCATAGTTCATGCTGGGATTACAGGCGTAAATCACCACAGCCAGCTCCCCCGCTGCTCCACACACCCTCTTTGGTGGCAGATCTATTTCTATGTTTGGTGAGCTGAAGCTCTGCTTGTTACTTGAGATCAGAGCTCTCATGGCCGGTAAGATGATGATGGACCTGGGGACACAGATAATGACGAAAGGTTGACATGTATTCTTTAAGAACATGGAAAGTCCAAAAGCACGTGTGGGGGTTAAGTGAAGCATGAGCCTTTGGTTGCTTTCTTTCTGCTGTTTTTTTCCCCAGAGTGTTCTGTTTTATGTATCACTCAGTGAGGGGATGTCTGGAACGTTACCCTCGATCCTCATTCTTGAGCTTTCTGTCTCGACCACCTACAGTGCCAGGGCAGCTGAGACGTTCCTTTCAGCTGGATTCATCTGTCTCCTCAGGCAGTAGCTGGACAGAAGTAAAACAACATTCCTGTCCTTTGACCCAATGATCCCACTTACAAGAACTACACCCCACTTTGGTAATGCTCCAAAATATAGAAAAAGTTTATAGAAACACTGTTTTGGTTAGAACATAGCATTTTCAGTTTGGTACACCTGCAATCTCAACATTTGGGAGGTGGAGGCAGGAGGATCAAGAGTTTAGGGAATTCTCAGTCATTTATCAAGTTCGAGGTCAGCCTGAGCTTCATTAGACCTTGTCTCAAAAAAAAAAAAAAGTTGGGAATGGACCTAGGTGTGCTAGCTCATGCCTGTAATCCCAGCATTTGTGAGGCAGAGGCAGGAGGATCAGGAATTCAAGGCCAGTATCAGCTAGAAGTGAGTTTGTGATCAGCCTGAACTGCATAAAAACCTATCTTTAAAAAAGAAATTGTTGGGCAGTGGTGGCACATGCCTTTAATCCCAGAACTCGAGAGGCAGAGGCAATTGGACCTAGGACAGCCAGGGCTATACAGAGAAACCCTGTCTTGAATCCCCACCCCACCCCCAACCCCCACCAGAAAAAATTAAGAGGGGATGGAGCAATGTGTCAGTGATTAAGAGCATTTTGTTGTTTTTTCAGAGGACTCAGGTTCATTTTTACAGCATTCATATGGTGGTTCACAACCATCTGTAACTTCAGTTCCAATAATCTGACCTCCTCAGGCATTAGGCATGCATGTGGTGCACATATATACATGTAGGCAAAACACTCATACACAGTGTTTCTGTTTGTATGTATCCCTACAGGCCAGAAGAGGGAGCCAGATTTCATTACAGATGGTTGTGAGCCACCATGTGGGTGCTGGGAATTGAACTCAGGACCTCTGGAACAACAGCCAGTGATCTTAACCTCTGAGCCATCTCTCCAGCCCAAAACACTCATATACATAAAATAAAATCTCAAAAATTGTAGGGGGCTGGAGAGATGGATCAGTGGTTAAGAGTACAAACTGTTCTTACAGAATACTGGAGTTTGATTCCCAGCACTCTCATCAGGCAGCTCACAACTGCCTGTAACTCCAGCTTCAGGGAATTTGATGCCTTCTCCTGGCCTCTGAGGGCAACCACACTCATATCACACACACACACACACACACACACACACACACACACACACACACACACACACACACACACACAGAGAGAGAGAGAGAGAGAGAGAGAGAGAGAGAGAGAGAGAGAGAGAGAGAGAGAGTTACAAATTTTTAAAAGAAAACATTGAGTAGAGAAAAAAGAGATAAAATAGTAATAACAACAAAATGAATATAAAACAAACAAAAAAGAATATAGTAGTTTCCGTACTGGCTGACTGAGTAGTCCTTCATAGGCACTCTCCTTAACATGGTCAAAGCCATCTGTTTTAGCAGCCTTCTGCTGTAGTCAGGGGGTTGTGTTTGTATTTTGTCATTGAGTTTGGTGGCCTCATGTACTTCTGGCATCAAACCTTGAGCACAATGCCCTCCTTAGCAGGGTTCAGTAGAAGCTGCCAGCAACTAATATCCTCAAACTGATAGGTCATCCAAGTATCTGCCAGATTAGTGGTACTTAGAAAACAAGGTTTGTACCTTGCTTAGAGCAGGCAGAAGAAATTTGATTTAATAAATCTCCTTGAAGGCCTAGGTCAGCTCCCCACTGTCCAGGATCGCCACAAGAATGATGGGCATCAGAAGCCTGAAAGTCAGGTCCAGGTCTTCCTTTTCTTCTGTCTCACTGTGTTTTATTTTGTTTTCACAGGTCCTCCTCCTCCTCCTCCTCCTCCTCCTCCTCAACCCCCTCCTCCTCCTTCTCCTTCTTTTTTAAAGACAGGGTCTTACTTCATAGCCTGAGTTGGTCATGAACTTGCTGCACACCAAGGATGACATTGAACTTCTGATCTTTCTGCCTTTACTTCCCAAGTGCTGGGATTTCAGGTCTGTACCACTATGCCTGATTTATGTAGTACTTACTGGGGGTGGAATCTAGGGCATCATGCATGCTAGGTAAGCACTCTACCATCTGAACTACATCCCTAGTCATAATTTAACACATTTTAAAAGTAGATTTCATTTTTTTAAAGAACTGTGCTGACTCATTTTGCTGTCTACTTGACATACCTGGGAAGAAGAAAATTCAACTGAAGAATTGTCTAGGTGGGATTCACATGTGGGAATATTTGTGGGAGTGTTTTCTTGATTGCTGATTGATGCAGGAGTACTGAGCCCATTGTGGGCAGTGCCATCCCTGGGCAGCTATACCTGGTTGGGCTGTATAAAAAAAGTAGCTGAATGTGAGCCTGGAAACACACTGGCAAATATCATTCCTTCATGGCCTCTGTTTCAGTTTCTGCCTTAAGTTCCTGCCCTGACTTCTCCTCAGTGATGGATTATGATCTGGAAATTATAAGATGAAATAAGCCCTTTCATTCCCTAAGTTGCTTTTGGTCATAATGTTTATTGTGGTAATAGAAAATCAAACTAGAATAAAAACAATTGTAGGTTATCAGCAAAATTGAGCACAATGTATGGATTTCCCATGTATACCCTGCCTGTGCATACATATGGCCATGCATTTTTATGTCATGTATGTGCCATATAATTTCTACTGAAAACAAGATACAAAGAGGAATTTAGTGATATAGATATTATGAGTGCCACCCATGTGGTGGTAGGACTTTTCCATGATGCAGCTGCCTGAGGGTCAACCATGTTTCTGTAGTAGGCACAATAAATTCATTGGGATAAAAAAAAGATGGTAGGAAGAATACAGAATGATCTCAGGTAAGCACTGAGGGGTGCAGTAGTAGAGTATTTAGCATGGCTAAGGCTCTAGGTTCAGTCCCCAGCATCTGAACAATATAAAGAAGGAAAGAAAAGAGTGGTTAAAGGATCCCCTAGAGCTCCATATTTCCTGCATCCTACTCCTTTTTGTTGTTTTCTGGTGACCACTGATCTGTGCTCCTCCTTAAGCAGCTCTCATCACTTTGCTGGCCCAGATGTCAACCCAATGAGGAAAACTGGAATGTCTGTGCTAATGGGCTCCTTTTTTGTTTATTTATTCTAGCTGAGTCCTGTCTATGGGACAGTACCATACACATTCCCAGGTGGTATGGTTTATCAATGTCCTAGAGGTTTTTTGTTGTTGCTTTTTTTTTCTTGAGACAAGTTCTCATATATAGCCCTGGCTGTCCTGGAACTCACTCTGTAGACTAGGCTGGCCTCAAACTCACTGAGATTACCTGCCTCTGCCTGCTCAGCATAGTCACCTAGGTACTTTTTACTCCAACAAGTTCATAATCAATTTTAACCACCAGAGTCCAGTGTGGTGACTCAAACCTATAGGTCCAGAACTCAGAAAAGCTGAGGCAGGGGGATCACTGTGAACCCAGGCCAACCTGGGTGTGCTGGATAGTTTTATGTCAGTTTGATACAAGCTAAATTCATCTGAGAGGAGGGAACCTCAATTAAGAAAATTCCTCCATTAGATTGGGTTGTAGGCAGGCCTATAAAGCATTTTCTTAAATATTTTGATGTGGGGCCTATTGTGGGTGGTGCTATTCCCTGGGCTGGTGTCTTGGGTTCTATAAGAAAGCAAGCTGAGCAAGCCATGGGGAGCAAGCCAGTAAACAGCACTCATCAGCTCCTGCCTTGCTTGTGTTCCTGTCCTGACTTACTTCCTTTAGTGATGAAATGTGATGTGTAAGTGTAAGCCAAATACAGTGGTCCAGAGGGTGCCTGGACCGGTCTACTCTGGTGACCAGCCTAGCAAATAACCTAACTGTCATCATAGAGCCTTTGTCCAGTGACAGATGGAGGCAGATGCAGAGATCCATGGCCAGACACCAGGCTGAGCTCTGGGAATCCAATTGATGAGAGAGAGGAGAGATACTGTAGGTGAGGGACATCGAGCTCATGATGGGAGGACATGCAGAGATGACCGGCCACACTAGTGGAAGTCCATGAACTGTGGACTGGTGGCTGTGGAGCCCCCATGGGATTGGACTAGGACCTCTGGATACGGAAGATGGTTGTTTGGCTCAAACTGTTTGAGGGGGCACCCAGGCAGGGGGATTGGGATCTGTCCCTGGTGCATGGGCAGGCTTCTGGGAATCCAGTGCCTGTGGTGTGACACCTTGCGCAGCCTTGGTGCAGTGGGAAGGGGCTTGGACCTGCCTAGGCTCAGTGTGCTGGGCTCTGCTGACTCCCCATGGGAGACCTTGATTTGGGGGATGTGGGGATACGGGGTGGCTTGGGAAAGAGGGCTGGGCGTGGGAGGAGGGAAGAGGGGGGCTTGTGGATAGTATGTAGAGTGAGTAGAAAATTTCTTTTTTTTTTTTTTAATAAATAAATCTATATACAGCATG